GAATCTAGAATAGAAACCATGAAGGATTATTTTTAGTTATTGTCATTAAAAATTCAAGCAAACACAGGCTAACAGTCAGACATCAGTCACACCTCAGGTAAATCTTATCTGCTGCTTGTTCTAGAGATCTCAGGCTGCTCTGTTCCAAAGGACCTGTCTGGCATCTAACCCACATGAAGGCAAAGGTGGCAGAAGCTAGTGGAGGACACTAGTTCTCTACTGAGAAATTTTTCTGTTAGTCCAAAGAGATGATCCCTGAACATCTCAAAAGAGACTCCCAAGCTTTGACAGTCTCTATGAAATAATGTCTTACTAACATCTTTTCCCATGGATGTCTTGAATAGGAGCACACATGGAGAGAGCTTTCCTAAACAGGGAAATGCTTTGCTGCATGGCACTTTGGTCACATCTCTTAAGAGTAAAAATTTCCTGTGTGCAGTGTTTAGTTTCAAAGCCAAGCTCTTACCAAGCCAAAAGGCATGGCAGGTATCTGTTAGAGAAAAATGCTTTGAAGGAAAGAAAAGCTAAATACTAATGTAAACTTTACTATTATTATCTATATCTAAAGGAAATAAAAATGTTCTGAGTAAGGAAATTATTTCAACAGTCACAGAGAGAAAGCCTAGAGTTTTCAAAAACAGCTCTGCCTTCCTCTGGCTAGCCTTCAATGTTTTGAAGTTGATCCCAAGGACTGCACCATACTACAGAGACTGGCAGAGGCACCATTAGAAGAACAAATGTTTAAGTGGCTTCAATTTTGTGCAGAGATAAGTTAAGAACCTTCATGGACTCAACTTCTGCCTCTATCCCTTTATGAATTAACTGCTTTCTCAGGAGTGATGAATATGGGGCTAGTGTCTGAGCCATAGAAAAAAACCCAAGGTTCTGACACAAGCAAAAGAAAGAGAGGAGCCATAAATCCAGGGAGTCTACTCCAGCTTGGAAGAACCATATTTGAAAATTTCCTTCAGGTTTTCTTCAAAAAGCTCAGCAAATCCATGGCTTGTATTTTTTCTACCTGCATTATAAGGATAAAAAAAGCAATCTCTATGGTATTGCATGAAGACCTATGCAAGCTGATCTGAGAATACCACATGACTTGTGGTATTCTTCAAAATCCATTTCCTACTTCAGGTATTTGAATAACATTTGTCACTACAGTGGCTGGGGCCCGGACAGGCAAAAAAAAAAAAAAAAAAAAAAAAGTTTATTCTTTAATTTCCTTGCAAGCCTAAATGTTAATCTTTGTTCCTCAGTCTCCTGTCAGAGAAGCCCATGTTTTGGATGTACATCCATGGGGGGTTATTAAATAAATGCAGAGTATCTACTCTTTATTCTATGCACACAGGGAGATGAAATTCCCAATTTCCAATTGTGGGACCTCCTCAGGAAAACAGGACAGAAAAAGCCAAACTTCCCCAGGAAGGGAAAAACCTGACTGTATCTTGACAGGTTTTAAACTATTGTGATGATGTTTTTCACGACAGATATTTCCTTCAAAGCACTGGCTGGGCTGTGTAGAAAATCGGGAGTGTTATGAGATTCTCACTTCATTTGCTGCAGAATCCGTTAGTGTGTTTAAAGTGAAGCAAGAAATTAGGCCAAGCATGATTTAATAAGCCCAGCCTTAAACCCTGCTCTGGAAATATGGATCCCATTCCTCAGTAGTTCCTAAGCAATATCAGAAAAGCCACTTGGACTAAACCAGTAAGACTAATTTCCAGGTGCTTCTTTTTCAAGACCAGGACTGGATATATAGAAGGGATGAGCACCCACTGGATTAAACTGTAATTTAAATATAAGGAGCCATATAAAACAAAATTCTCTGGGGAAAGAGAGATGCTATGAATCTCAAATTTGATACTTGTGATGTACTCAGTGATGTACTTGTGATGTACTCAGTGATACTTGTGATGTACTCAGATACTAGTGTAATGACCACATTAAAGTGTTCCTGAAGACACAAGTAATATTTTTTCTTCAGTGTAACAATGTGCCACAAATAAAACACACAAAATTTAAGTGAGGGATTAAGCTCTGCCTGTCACAGAATGGATGAGTTAGGAACCAGCTTGGGTATTGCAGCACTGCACTCCTTATCATGTCGAGATACAGGAGTATAGCTGCAAACAAATATGATTATGCTACTTTCCAAGATGTTTCCATACAGTCACATGTTAAGCTATACCCAAATGAAGACACCCTTCCAGAACCAGACAGACTGGTGCAGAAACATCTGAACTGGTTTTGGGCACACATATAGGAACTAGATCAGGTATTATATATGATCTATGTTATTTCAGAAAAAGGCAACACACACATGAAGATCAGCAGCATTCCCTGTGCCTGTTTACAAGTGGCTGCAGAAAAACTAGAGAACCCTTATGTCACCACAAACTCTTTTCATCTTGGACCCAGCTTCCTGCGCACCCAGAGAATCCCAGCCTGGATGCTCTGCAGAGAATGGTGCTCAGTCCCAGCACGAGGCCTTGGGGAGCTCAAGCTTCCTTGTGAATGCCTGACAAAGGGGCAGATCTAGAAATTGTCTTGCCTTTGTCCCCAGTCTTCATCCTACTCCCACTTTCACTGTATTATAATCTCAACTTAATTCTTTTTCTCTCTTCATTTACTAGCTCAAGCTGAAAGAAACAAGGCTGAATAGAATAATAACAGCTCTTCTGGACCAGCTAATGCAGCTAGGGAGAGCTGAACAAGCTCTCAGGTGTACAGCACCACCATCAGGTGCTTGCTCTGATATTTCTCCCTCCTGCCTGTCCCCTCAACACAGTACAGTGTCTTCATTCCCCTCACCCTTCACTACCTCCCTCCTTCCTTTCTCCTCATTCTGGAAGCCCTCTCCTTTATCCTTACCTCCTCCTTTCTCTCTCTGCATGATGTGACTAGACAGGAGAATACAGATTTATGTATTCCCTACACGTGCTTCTCATTTTTTCTGATCCATCTTTGGCTGTTGATTTCTCCTTGTAGGTGAGTATCTCTCAGCTCTCCCTCTCTCTTTGACCTTTCCTCTGCTCCTTGTAAGTCATTCTCTCCTCTTATGCTGTGAAACATTCATGCTGTCTCATACTGTGAAATTATCTCTCTCACGTTCTCTTGACTATATCTCTAGCATGGACCTTGGTGCTTTCTAAAGGATGCTATTTCACAATAAATACATAAGCACAGCTTCAGGCTGCTGTCTTCTCCAATTGCCTAATTGTATATGGTATCTTAAGGTGCTCTTTAGAACATCAAAGATGTCTTAGCTATTTTACCATTTTCCTTCTCAGCTCTGTTGAAATTTATACAAAGCAATTGTGAGTTTTTTATCCAGCTTGAGGTCACCAGCACAAGCAGCGCTGCCCTAGCTTGCACAGCTCGGTTGCTGAGGCAGGGCTAGCTGTGCATAATTCTCCATTTCCCCTTTAAAACGCTCCATCTTTCTGCATCTCCAGCTCTCACAGTGAGATTGTGCAATCAGGTGACTCGGTGACAGGCTGCTTTGCTGCATTGTGGCATCCTCGAAGCAGCTACGGAGGTTTGTACACAGAGCTCCCCGGGCGAGCGCGGAGGGAACGCCGGGCAGCATCCCGGGCGCTGCCGGGTTACCCAGAGCTATCTATGCACGGCCGCATATGCCTTCAGTGTGTGCAGCGTCTGCTGGCCCTGCAGCTCCGCGGCTGAAGGAGCAGCCTCTCCAGAGAGCACCTGCCTTTAGCAGAGTCACTGCTGCCAGACATCTTGAGAATCCTTCATTATAATTGCCTTGGGGCCTGAACAGATCCGATGTTGCCTCATTATTGGGACTATTTATTATTGAAACCAGAAATGCTGAGTCATTAAATAGAGGTCATAAAAACATCCTTATTCTGCTAAAAGCATTAGCTCATCATTTCTGGTACTACAGAAGGTAGGAGAGACCAGGAATCCTGGTGTCTGTGAGAAAGAAAATGTGGACTGCATCAGAGGCCTGGGAAGATCAGACAAGAGCCCTAAGTCAGTAACCCATTAGGAAAAGCAGAGTGCTGGTTAAAGACAGATCTCTGGGTTCAAGATCAATTGCAATTTCTGCATTTTTGTCACCTCAGGTTACCACTGTATCCCAGAATATGTTAATGTCTCTCTCTGGAAATGGACAAAACTAAAAACCTTGCTCACTTTTGTCTGAAGACTATAAGGCACTTCAGAGGCACTAGCCAGCTACACCTAACTGCACAGTGCTGCTGTTACCTCCACCCCCTTTTTTCAGAGGGAAGCCAGAGCAACGGAGGGGGCATTTGTTTGCTTGAACCCTGGTTCAGGACTGCACTCTCCCGATTTCTCATTCCAAAGAAAGGCATTTTTTTTTTCCTGTGTTCTTGTGCTGCTGAAGAGTTAAGGTAGCCAGAGAAAGGATTTTAATGTATTTTTACTACCTCTGCTTGAAATTTATTTTCTTACTATTCTTCCAGAGGGAGTTTTCTTAATCTGGAGAGACCCCTCTGGGTGGAAAACCACATTTTTCAGAGATTATGTTTCCCTATTTTAATACTGAAGCTGCAGACAAATACTTCCTTTGATAGCTGTGTTTGATTTCCTGCACTGCAGGGATGTCCTGTCAGCATCCAGATCCAACAACAGGCGCATGGGGGTTACATCCCTCAGCCGATGGGGTGTGTGTGTTTATTTGTTTTTGTTACGGATTTCTTTGGAGGAGTAAATATGAAAGACTCGTACTGCTGGCTCACCAGCCAAGGCGCCCTGTGGCACATCGTGCTCCCGGCTGAAGCCAACACTTCCAGGCGTTTGGGTAGGGCGGGGTGTTCCCGACGCTCACCTGAGCACACACCGGCCCGCACCGGCAGGGTCCGCTTCTCCAGGGGACGCAGGTCCCTCCCTTGGGGCTCGCCAGCCGTCTTTAGGCTCTGTGCCCCGCGATGGCCGCGGGAGGGCTCGCTGGGGCAGCCCCCCCCACTGCGGGCCGAGGGAAGCGGCGGCAAGCCGGCAGGAGGACGGGGGCCGGCGCTGCGGGGCGGGGGAGGCAGTGCGAGGCAGTGCGGAAAGAGTTAAGGGAAGGTGGCGGGGCAGGCTGGCTGTCGGGAGCGAGCATGTGCAGATTGAAACCGCATCCATACTACGGGCGAGTGTCACTGGCACACTTCACCTCCCGCCGGCCGCGGGGCACCCATGGACACCGGTGAGGACACGAGCCGCGGCCGGGCGGGGGGGCCGAGCGGCGCTACCGGGAGCTGCCCGCGGCCGCTGCCCTCACGGCCGCCCCGACGGGCGTGCGCGCGGCCCGCGGCGGCCTCCCCGCAGCCGAGCGGCGCGGGGGATGCGCTGCCCGGGGCGGAGGGCGGGGATGGCGCCCGGCGCCGTTGGTTTCGCTTTCTGGCGGCGGGAGGGCCGTGCCGCCCCTGCCGGGCGGGTGCCGGCCGGAGCGAGACAAAGGCGGGAGGCCGAGCGAGAGCTTCCCCGCCAGCGGCGGGCCCCGCGGGGACACCGGGCACCGGTGTGTCGCCCCCTCCCGGGGAGCGGCGCAGCCCCCGCAGGCCGGGCCCCGCCGCCCTCCGCAGCTCCTCGGGGCGGCAGCGCGGTGCGTGTCGAGGGGGCTTTGCTCGGGAGCTCCCGACCCCGGCTGAGAAGTTTTCGGGGCTCAGGGAAAGCAGGGTGGAAGGGTTGTTGAAATCGGAGCTGCTTTTCACTGGACAGTGCCTTTTTTTTTTTTTTTTTTTTTTTCTTCCCCACGAGGAGAGAAATGTCTCGAAACATCTTTTTGCACTGATTTCTGTAAAACTTTATTCCAGGCAAGGGGAAATAGCTCTGAATGAGCCTAGCGTTTGCAGAGCTGAACTGGGAGGTGGGAACTGGCTCTGGTCCTTCAGTGACTTTTCTGCAACCTTGTGAATTACTCCTGTGTGTAAAGCCAGAGGCCAGGGATACAGATACTACAGTCAGCTGAAAATGAGAGTTTTTTTCTTTTCTATTAAAAAAAAAAAAAATTAGTCTCAAGATGTTTGCTCTTGTTCCATTTTTGGTATGGAAAAATATTCAGAATAGCTGAATTTTTGCAAAATGGAAAATCTGATTCCTTCTGTTTCCCATTCACTCATTTACTCTAGGGTTTTGTAAATTGTTTCTAGGATGCTTAGGAGCAGGGATGCTGGGGAGGCTGCCCTGTCCTGTTCATCTTAAGCTGGACCGTTACACTGGGATTTCCTAGAGATCATTTCATATTGCTGGTCCAGAACTACTTGGAATGTACAAACTTGTTAAGCCTCATAATTACACAGCAGATGCAGGAAAAACTCTGTTATGTGAAATATTTTGTATTATTCTCTGACATTGTTTATTTGACAGATTTTTCCTGTTTTCTCTTTATTTCTGAGGAAAAAAAAAAAAAGCAGTCCCTGCAGGAGCCTTTTTTTTATCACAGGCAAGGTGGTAACATCTCTGTGACTATCAGAGCTGTGTGCATTGGGGATTTGCAAGAACAGATTGCCCAAAGAGCTTCATTCTGTGTTTTCCAGGGGTACAAATACATTAATATATGTACAATATCAGTTAGAGATGGGGCTAGCTACTGTTTGGTGGTAAATAGGAAGTAATTAAAACAAAAATTACTATAAGTTATTAGGAAACAGAAAAGAAAGACTTATTGACATGGAATCCATTTCAATAAGCCAGCACTGAGGAAAATTGTGTAGGAAATCTGTAAGATACTCATGTGTCCATGACACATCCTGAAGGTCCTTCTTGAATCCCAGCACCTTGTCCCAGTGAGAAGGTATGACTTCCATGAAGAAATGTCAGTTTTCCCGTGTTAGGTAACAGCAGCTTGCTACTGTGGATAAGTTAAGATTTTTCACTAAAGCTGAAAGTAGATATTTTCTCCCTGAGGAATATATGCTCTTGGTGTGGATATCTGAAAATTTCGTACTTCTCTGTTGAGGCCGTCACTGAAGAACATGGGTGTCTCCGTTTGTAGAAGAGGAAACTGAGGTAAGGGAAAATGGCATTTCACAGGTCGTTGTTAAATTGAAACAAGACTTAAGTCCAAATCGTTTGGTTTAACTTGTAGCTATAGCAGCTTTCCAAACAAAGCTCAGCAAAAGTGCTAGAAGAGGCTGATTCAAAGTGAAACATTCTGAGATCCTTTGATCACAGGAATCTTGAAAAAGCATGTAGTATAGTCTGGTGGAAAGGAAATGGAGGGGCAAGCAGAAGTTGAGGCAGTTACTGCTTGTTACTGTATAACTTCTGGCTGAGGCTCTGGCAGCATGTCTGTAGCCTTGGTCAGTATTGCTGTGCCCACTCTACTGAAGGCTGATGGTGGAGGCAGAAAACAAGCTGCTTCCTTGGAGAGTTCAAACCTTGGAATTCTTATGGCAAGATCCCATGGTAGTTTACAGAAGTGCTAAAGGGGTCTATACCAAGAGGTATGGATAGCACAGGTGTGCAGGTTGAGAGTAACCTAGATCTCTGCATCCATATGGAAATGGTACCTGGTAGACTGCAGTTTTGCTGACAATGTCATAATGTTATGTGGTGCCAAACAGTGAAAGGCAGATTTAACCTTGAAGGGAGACGCATGTTTCTAGATTAAAGTATAAGGCAGGAGGAGGTTTTTGGATAAGGTGATGAACTCGACAGCATATCGAACTCGACAGATATCTTTTTACAATCTATACTTTATTCAGCATCTTGGAGATGTTCTAAGGAGTGAAGATGTAGGGATCCCTTTGGCCTTGTAATTTGTGGATCTGCTTATTCCCACACGTAAGAAATGTGTGGGGAAGAGTTGTTTTCTGGCATTGTAAATGTGCTTTTAATACCTGTCCGCTTGGTTAAGACAGTAACTGTCCTTGGATCAGGTGTTTCAGGGCTGCTGGCAGGCACTGCATTGTGTCCAGGAGGGGTGTTTCTTCTCGTGGCATGATTAGTGAGATGAATTTAAGTTTTACCTCCAAGTTTTACTTGAATTTAAGTTTTACTCTCCAGAGTGTTAGAAATGAAATGCAGTTGGGGACTGATCATGCCAGGAAGAAGTTGTGGAGGGGGAGTGAGGGAGAGGAGACTGTGCACTCTTCCTGTGGGGGGTGGGGAGAGAGGAGGGGGGAACCCCCAACTTTTTGCTATCATCACATGCTTTGATGGCAAGTCTTGTTTGTATCCTCAGAATTGTACTTATCGCAGAGTCTGGGGCCAGGCTTTGTAGGTTTCTCCTTTTTCTGCAGCATGGGATTGGTCACTAAGCATAATTTCTGTGAGACTTGTTTGAAGAGTCCTTTGCAAGTTTTGGAGTTGCCTCACTGGCTGTGGTGTGCTTTCTTATGCTCCTTGTTCATGGTATGCACATCTAGTCTCCTTAGACTAAAGAACATCTGTCCTTATCCAAGTTGTTAAGCTGTGTTGCAAGAAACGACATGGAATTTTAATAAAATTATCTGCAGGAGATTTGACTAGGTTTTAGGCAAAAGAGTCCTTTCTGTTAAGCAGTCTGACAAAAGAAAGAAGTTTTTCCTCATGGAAGATGATTGGAAAGCATAATGAAAAACCTTTTAAAAATGAAAAAATATATTGGGGAGGCTTAAAGAGTGGTGGTGTGGAGGAGACCTTGTTCTGATGATGAAGTCATAGAAGCAATGGAAAATTTTATTGTTGCAAATTGTACCTTAGGATTCTTTGTTTCTGGATTGCCTTCAACAAATACCATGTTTAAGAAAATTAAATTAAGTTTTTGTGTTGTTTTGTTTCTTTTTTCCAGTCTCAGACAGCCTGCTATTATATGGTAAGAGGAGAGGTAACAACATGGCTAATTAAAGGGCAGCAGTGCTTCATTCCTTAGGGCTAATTACTCTCTAGAAAATGGGTCAATTACTTAAAGAAATTGTTTGCCAGCAGGAGGTAGGAAAAGCCTTTATTCCCACTCCTCACCATCCTTTTGTGGGAAGCACTTCCTACCTCCATAGCAGTTGCAGTACCTTGTTAAGCATTCAGGTGCCAGGGCCATGCCCTGCAGATGGGGAAGTGGCACCTGAGCAAACTTATATGTGGTGTCTTCTGTCCTGCATGTTCCTGTGTCACTGCAGATGAGGCAGTGGCCAGTGGTGTTCCTGGGTTGTTTCTGGAGTGAAAGAAATGAAATTGAACAACACAAGTGGGAGGTCTGTTTCAAAACAAAATTTGCTTGATGTAAAAAGTAAAGTATGGTATATTTCCTTACTTCTTTTGAAAGAAGCTTGATTGTCTAGTTAGCTAACGTTTTCCAACATAAAAGGTATTACCTGCTTTTGGCTTGCTTGGTAAGATCTGTAAATGATCCCTTCTCAGATCTGCTTCCTGTATATGTTTCAGTATTCTCTGGTGGCTTTCTCACCTGACCATGCTGCTTGCTTTAGCTCTGCAGCTCAGTACAGTTTGGGTGAGGGAGCAGAGGGCTGGTTAGCTGTGTTCGTCAGAAATGAACTGGTCTGCTTCTCACATTTCTGCTATGATATGTGGGGCAGGAGTATCCAGATGGTTCCCGAGTTCCTTGGTAAGGTGGCTGTGCAGGCAACCACAAGAAGTCTTGAAAGAAAGCCAGACTGAGCAAAGGCTTTGGCTCTGCAGGAGCAGATACCAACATCTGTGCCAATTCAGAACAACGCTCTCTTTCTGGTTAGTCAGAGCACTACATTCCTGGCTGTAAATGATACACCCAATAATGTCTGCTGTGAGCCAGAGCTTATATGCACCTTACAGTCCAGCTAAAATGAGTGTAAAAGGCTTTGCAGGTGCATACTGCTTGTTAACATGTCCTCAGAGGTGAAATAAAAGCTAGACTGCTTTAGAGATGTTTGTAGGCATATCTGAATGAGCATACCTATCAGTTACTAGGTCAGAGGTGTCTAATCATTGCATAGAATAGGGAAGTGTTTTATATTACCCTTTCTTTTGTTCTGGATTTTTGTTGGTTTCAGTGCACTAGAGTTCACCACAACCTTATTTTGAAACTCCCCCGCCCTCACATGCTTCTGTCAAAGCTGGATTAAATGACTGAGGGAATCTTCCCTACCACAAATGCTGTCTTGCTTTCATTGCATAAGATACAAGCATTAGTAGTCACTAGGTGAGTGTTGATAGCATAGCGTGGTGAAGCTGCTGTTTGACTTCTTCCTTGCTGGATCTTTGCTCTCAGGTGTGCCATTTATTGGACGTAGCCTATATGAAGAACTTCTGTGGAGCACCTCTCTGTCCTGTTTTCATGATTCTGCTGGGAGCATGATGAAGTACTTCTGAAAGGGGGAGCACTGTCTTTAGTATGGGTAGCTCTAGCATAGTGTTGTGTGTACTGCCAAGTGTCTTCTGGGGATGGGGAGTCTGTTTTGTTTTTATTTCTTTCATCCAGAATGCATGCACAGATCATGATCCAAATCATTTGGCTCCACCAGCCTAATCTGGACTGAGAAATCTTGGCTGGGGCTTATGTCTATGCAGAGCTCTAGGTAGTCATTCCTCTCTGCATGCGGCAGAGTATTCCTGATGATAGCAGTGGGTTTGGCTGTTTCCTCTCCTGCTAACTGACCTAGCAAAGCCAGACTTGCTTAACCCATGGGACTCTTTGAGCCACGTGTTTTCTTTGTATTTTGTGTCAGCAGAGGCTTATGGTAAGGATGCTTCTGCTGAGTTCTAGAAGAAGAGTTATTTATTTTTGTAATTTCTGTTGTTTTTAAGATGTGTATAGTTTCCCCTAGTGGTATGGTGGATACCATGTGATTTGGTTTATTTTGATCCAGCAGTTCTTTCCAAGGCATACCTCACAATTAGGCTTTTAATTGGAAGTGGACTTGTACATGAGTTTCAGGATGTAGGGCACGGTTTATAAAAATGCTTGAATGTCTTACTACGGAGAGAAAAGCTGCTTTGAAGGTAACGTAATGATTCCTTAGCAATATTGAGCTTGGCTGCTGTTGCTTTCAGTTTTTCTTTGCTGCGTAATACTTTACCATGGAGATGAGAGACTTTCCAAACCATCAGCCTCAGGCACTTGAGCTGACAGAGGTTAGCATGGTATTAGGAGTGCCCTGGGCAGCTAAGACATTTCCTGTGCAGTGGAGTACTAAGGTGCATATAGAAAGAGGGCAATTCATTATGTTGTATTGTGTTGCCTTATAAATTGTGGATGTGCAAAAGGTCAACTTCTAGAATGCATGTCCTTCTCTTAGATAGTTACTCCAAGCTGGGGTATGCTGCCCTGTGTGTGGGGCAGTGGGAGTAGGTTTTTTGTTCTATTTTTTTTTTTTCCCCAGCTACATATCAGACATAGAAGATGGTAAAGTGTCCCATTCTGGTGCGAGAAATGTTGTTTCCTTAGTTTGAGAAACAAGGACTGGACAATGTCATGACAATGATGAACATTTGCTATGCTTAAGGACCATGGCTTAGCAATGTTTGGAGTACTAAAAAGCTGTAAGTACAAACACCAGCACTTCCACTGCATCTTTCATTTGAAAATCTCTCAGTTCTTAATGAATTTTCAGCGTGTCTCTGTGAGGCTGGTATTATTAGTGTCATTTTGCAGACAAGTAGATAAAGTGCTTGTATAAGCACATTCAGCAAGCCAGGAAAAGCAGGAATAAAATTCAGGAATACTAATGTTTCAACCTGGTTTTGAGCTACTGTCTTGTACTTTTGTTCCAGAAAAGAAAGACATGAATTTTTGTAGCTTTCCTGCCCCCATCCCCCTCTTTTTATCCCCATTGGGTTAGGCTGCATAAAAGTGAGACATTATTATGCAACATATCTAAGTGTGCATGTGATACTTGAAAAAATGGTAATCAGATAAGTTGCCAGGCAACAGTACCCTGCCTTCAATTACCAAAACGCCAGTGAGTGTGCTTTCATGATAAAACATGGGTGCTGTACTTCTTCATAAAGAAAGTGTAGGTGGAGTTTTGTAAGAGTTGCTCCTTTTTAACTCCTCTCTTGCTTAATCTGCCATATTGTGAGGTCAGATTTGACCTCAGTTTTAGAGAAAAGCATTCACCAAACCTGAAAACAACTATAACAAAGTTAGATGAGCTCTCAAAGCTAATGAATGGTATGTGAGCATATATGAGTAAATAACCATTCCCTGCAATGGGTCTGTGACTGTTTGATAGTTCAACAGCTTACAACAAGTAGGTCAGAGCTCATCCTTGGAACTGTGAAAATTAAGAAAATGGGTGAGAGATTTATGTTAAAAGATAGATTACAGGAATACATGGCAAGCTGTGAGAAGTATCAAAACACTCGCAGTGGCCTCTTGGCCCAAAAATATTGAGAGCCATGGTAATTCATGAAAATATGAATGTAAATCCATTTTCATTGCAGAAGCAGAATGGAAGGAACATAAGAAGGGATGAGTGTACACAGAGGAAAAAGTGATAGTCTAATAAAGGAAGACAGCATGAGGGAATTCAGTTGTGTGTTTGTTCGAAACCTGAGTTTAATTTATTTTTCAAAGATATTGCAAGATAACAATGGCAAAAAATAAAGACTCTTGGAAGTTATTTAAATGCATTTTTGACTTTGGCAATAAATAGACACAGAAGCATTTGCAGAGACTGTAGTTGTGTGGGGATGCAGGCATCTGGCCAAGCCTCTTCAGCTGTTGGGTGGTGGCATGGCTTTTAGAAGAGATTTGAAATTCCAGAGGTCTAATGTGCTTCTCAGGGCTTTGAGAGGAATTTTCAGTAGAGATAGGGCATCCTCCTAGATATAACTGGGAAAGGATGCCCATAACCTTGAAATCACTTGTTTTCCTTGGGTAAGTGCAAGTTGTTGCTTTACAGAGTTGATTTTTATTTTTTTTTTTTTTTTTTTCTTCTTTTGTTCCAAAAGGAACAAAAGGCATTTGCATTTCAGGAGATGTGGGACTGTGTCCTACGTGTCTCTCTGCAGTATTTCAGTCCAGTGTAGGAAGAGGTTCAGAAGTCCTCATCAAGAGACATGGTGGGACTTCAGTTAAAAGGGAAATCTGCATCATCCTCTGTGTAAGTCCTGCCAAAACAGAGGGAGTTTCTGAGAAGACACAGACTCACTTTCTGTTTCCAAATCTGGCACTTTCTTCCCAGGAGAATCCCAGATAAGTCACAGAGCAATGTTGTGACTTGATTTTTCTGTTGCACAACTTGCCACCAGTTAGTTGCAAAAGCTCTGTTTGTAGAGAACTGTAGAAATAATGAAGGGATGTAAATACTAAAAGAGACAGTTGAAGGAACGGTCAATTAACCACTTTTCAGTTAGAAATTTGCTTCATTTTTTTTTTGGTTTGTTTTTGTTTATATTTGTTTCTTTTTTTTGTATTCTCATTTGATGAGCAGTACTGCTAGATTATGCTCATGTGTAGTCTCCAGCCTGCCGACACCAGGAATGTTTGTGTCAGAGCAGGAAGTGCTGTTTTGGGAAGTCTGCGATTTTAGTTTTTAACTATTTTTGTATACGCAAGTAGCTGTTCACGCTATTCTAACTGGTTTTTTGTTTGATTTTCCCTTACTACAAACACTATACATTTTGAATCATTAGAATTTTGACACAGAAAGTTCATTTATATACCAAACAAAAAACAAATCTTTTCTGAACAGTTTAATCATGGGAGCCTTAAGGTCAAATCTTTATCTTCAGCTCTACTGCTTTGCTCACGTGTATTATGACATAGTCTTTACAAATGAAGATTTTCTTCAATGAGTGTTTTCTTTCAAGTGTAGACACATTTGTAACCAATGGTATGGTTTCTCCAGCACTCTGAGTTCAAAATGATGCAATATTTTGTGAAAAGGGAACTTCTTCCTGCTGGGCTATGTGCTGTGAGCCAAATCTGAGAGATGATGATACAGCTGAAAACTAGCAGGCTTTAGGGTAGCATGGGGTAGCATTCAGAGGGCTGATGAGTTCCTTGGTCTGGCTCCAGGTGAAGCCCCATGGGTGGCCTGAGCGCTGGTGCCAGGGAAAGGGATGGACTGAGCAGGACTGTGTTGTTCTAAAGTTAGGTTGGCTTGGAGCCTTTTGTAATGTTCGTGTTGCTGTATTTAAGGAGTTGGAAGTGTGTTGCTGTTGCTTATTTTGTATGATTTTTTTCCTCAGTCTTTTACATATCAAATTATAGACAAGTACATCTGATTATGTAAAAAGCATTCTTATTGTTTTTGTGATTCTAGGGAAATGCCTTTTGAAGTTTTGTTTGCATATGTCTGATAAATAGTTCAGTAGAAATCTGTGGCAAATATCCAACTGTGGCAAAAAGCATATAAGGAAAATGGATTACGTGCAAATAATTTTTAGGAACGTTGATGTGGCAACAATTTATACCAAAGCTAGACAACAAACAAGTTCTTTCCCAGTCTGATATACAAATATGTAGCTGGTAAAATAGCAACTATTTCTCATGATAAGAGAGACTCCAAAGTAGATGCAAGCTTCAGTGCATAGGCAGAAGGTCCTAGATGTGTCTCAATAATAACCATATTACATTGATTTAATTAGTGGATTTATGCTATTCATTGCTCCAATAATCTCATTGGGAACAATTTTTTTTGAGGAGGGTTAGTTATTCTGCATTTTTAACTGGAGTGGTTTTGTAGTTCAGTGTCATCTAAATAAAAACAGTGTAGGTTTGTTTTGCTTTGTTTATTAAGGAAAACATGTCTCTTGAATTCCTCTTGGATTTTGGTGCTCAAAAATGCTGAGATTCATTAGGATAACATGAAGAACTCATTTGTTACACAGTCTGACACATAAACGTCCTTGCTTTAACTTCTTCATATGCAATTAATCCAGAAAATGCTATGTATAGACAAGCCCTTGGGTTGTAAGGTCTGTGAGGCCGATGTAAATAAGGTGTTGGATACTTGTGTGTTGAAGCTGTCACTTTGAGGCATGACTTCTGTGAAAATCAGGAATGTGGCATCCCAAATGTCAACACTTGAAGAGAAGGAGAGCCCCAGCTCATGGATTCCACTTGCTTGGATCATGCAGCTGTGCTGCCTGATGAGGTGAAAGGCAGTCAGATCACTGGAGCAGAGAGGACAGTGCCAGTGCCTCCAGGAACAGGTTGGGGTGCTGGGTGGGTGGCACTGGGAAGGGCCTGCTTACATGAAGGCCACGCTCTGTCCTGGAATGGGGAAGAGAGAAGAAAAGTGTGATGATTGGAGAAGTGAGGATGAGAGGAGATTGGGGAAGATAAGGAGGCAATATTAGGAGAGATAGGATGGGAAAAAGTGTCAGCAGTGAAGCTTACTTAAAAAATCGATACATTGATGGGGAAAATAGAAGTAAAGCAATTTCTGGCAGACCCTCCAAGGGTTAACTGAGACCTTGGCTGAGATGGTAGCAGTGAACCTTTGGTCACTGACTCCAGTGAAGTTGCTCTGTGTGTTTACTGTGGCTGAGATCCAGAAGGACAGTGGAGAGCAGAAAGGCTGAGCCTCACCCAAGGAGAGGCAGCTGTCAGGGTGCCGCCCTGGACAAGCGGCAGGTACAGGTGCTGTGTGGGGGCTCTGAAGAAGTCAGGTCTTCCAGGGCCCAGTGTACTGGAGCTAAGCTATCCATACACATAGCTTGTTCTGTGTTTAAAATCTCTCTTGCATTTTGCTGTATTAAGATTAAAATGTACTTCTTTGGTTTAGGAAGGCTGTCTGGTTGCTGTATTAACTGTTGGTCATACACACCTGGGCTTAAAACAACTGGCATCTGAAACCCCTTGGACGTGCTGGAGGCAGCCTAGTCTACCTGCGGATGTTGTGAATTAGGAACTGGCCAAAGAGTGGGAGAGCTCCAGGATCCCTCCCCGGAAAAGGTAAGGTCTAGAGGCTCACACTGGTGGGATGCACTTGTAGACCAGAAAAACAGAGCAGTTGTCTGAGTACAGAGGTGACTGCATTGTAGATGGGACCTTTGAAATTTAAATATGTAGAGTGCTAAGTTATTTCTATCGGTTTAAACCTCAAGTTGTTTTCTGGAGGTGTAAGATTGCCTTTTGCACACATCACCCTTGATTTCTGTCTGCTGTGAGTCACATCATTCTGATTGCTTGTAATTTATACAGCCAAACTTTTCAGTATTATTGTCTCTAAAACCTCACTCTGATAGCCTTAGGCAGTTAAAACAATCAGGACAGTGGAGCAGTATCTCTAAGCTAAACCAGAGCAGTAGGTAAAGAACAGAGGGTTGCTCTCTCCTGTGAAAGCACAGGTGTGAGTTGGATGATGAGGAATCTATTCCTGGCCCTAGCAAACACTGCAGACTCTGCACCTGATTCACCAATGTGTTACTCTACTAATCTCCTCAGCCTCATCTTGCCACTCTCCTGTATGCTGTGGCAATCAGTTACACATCCATGTAGTGCATGTAAAGTGCTATCAGTTTGAAAGGGTGATTTATATCCCAGAGCAAAAGTTTATATTGATTCTGGTTAGTGGGGTGGATGTTGTGGGACCAGAACAATTTCCAGACCCTGCAGCATTTTTGACAGGCTCTTTGTGTCTCCAGTATGTGGCATGGTTCAGGCTACAATATTCTTTTGCCTATTGTGGATCATCTTTCCTGGGTAGGTTGTGCACAGTACTTTATTTCTAGCTGGAAACTCACTTTGAATATGTGCATGCTACATGTATAAACTTCAGCTACATGTAAGCATGGTCGTCCCTCAGTCTGTCCTGTCTCAGGTGTTTCATTACTTCTCCTAGTTGTAGTGCCCAGGATCTGTGTTGGGCTATTCTGTTGTCCCACTCCGCTATTCTTACTGACAGACCCCCTGGTCCTCTCTGAGTCTGGGGAACAGACCCAGTCAGCTGCTGAAGGAAAGCAGTAGACTTAATTGTGGTAGTGCTAGCAGTGTGGATAAGCAGGGTCAGCTCCTGCCTAGAGCTCCAGCTGTGATTGTGCTGCCCATTGTGTAGCTGATTACAGGGCTTCAGTTGGTCACCAAGTGTCGTCTTTTGAGTGGCAAAGTCCAGTGTTGTAGTGCTGCAATTTGATAACAAAGCAAGTGTCAGCAGCTTCCTGAGAAGGCAGCTGGTGATGGAATGAGCTTTGTATGAGTCCAGCTGTTATGTCAGTGAATGCAGCCGTGAGTGTTTCTGAAGAAAGCTGTGTCTGACAAGTGCTCTGGTGTGTGGCACTATTGCTGTGAGCAGAGCAAATGCTGCTTCTTGCCATCCTCAAGAACCATTGAGTGTAGCGCAGAAGTCTCCTATTACTGTTAAAACAAAAACCAAGCGCCGTATGGGCACAAGAAAACATAGATCCATTGGCAGCAGAACAAGACTCTGAATTATTCATTCCTCCAATGCCTCCTGTAGGTTCCATCCACTCAGGCAGTTCAGGATGCTGTCTGTTGGAGATGCAGACAGATCTGCTTTCAAAGCCATGGGGACAAGACCCTGCAGACTGTCCTTGCCACTCTTGAGCTTGTCCTTCATTAAATTGGCTTGGGCATTGCTGTGACATCCTTGAGGACACAGAAATAACCTCTTATCATCGCCTGGGCTTTTGGTAGGAATACTTGTAAAACCAATGAATTTGGAACACATCTAGTAATGCCAGCTTGGAATTGTCTCTGAGGTGAGGGCAATGAGTTAGGAGCAAGATGGAAGCTCTGGCTGCTCTGGCCCATTTTGCAAAAGGAAGGTGAGAGAGCCACATCTTTTGTGTGGCATTGTTTTGGTTTTTGTAAGAGAATTTAGACTATGTCAATTTGTTCCTAGCTCCTTGCTGAGAAGCCTAAGTGTCCTCTGTTAAAAGTTCCTTGAGCACAGGCAGGATTTCTCTGTTCATGCAGAGTGCTCTAGTGGAGATGAGTGTATTTAAATTGCTGTTTGGGAACATCTGTAACACGTAGTTTTTCTCAACTCATTTACTAGTAGGCATTTGTCTATGTAATGGTTGTCAGCTGGCAGTTGAATTCGAGAGGCACTGAAGATTTACAGAGCTGCAGAGGCTCAATTCTCCTCCAACTCTTCCATGAACTGCTGTGGGCTCAGGTAAGAGGTGTCCACTGTGAGAGAAGGTGTTGCTGAAGGTTTGTTCAGAGGCTGTTCTTCAGCATAGAATGTGCATACTTAGATGCATAGGGGTTTTAAATACTTTCTTGCTTTTTCCTTCCCACTGGTTGGCCTGAAGATTCCTTCAGCCATTTCGCATACCCAGGCTGCACTGTCCATGCCATATTACAGATTCTTTAACATTTTCCCCCATTTTCCTTCTGCGTCTCTCAGAGTTGCTCTTAGCTATTAGGCTTTTGATGAGATGTATTTGGATTTTTAGTGTGGGAAAAGCTACCTGTAACTAGCAACAGCTGTAGAAATTATGATCTTCTTAAAGCAGAAGTTCAACCTTTGCATTTACAGCTGTCTTGTAATGTGCCCTGCTGCATTTTGAGAGCACTTCAAATGTTCCTAAAGAGCATCTTGGAAAGGAAGGAAATGTTACTTCTGTCAAAACAACACACTGTAGCTTGTGTTCAGAACAGTTTTCAGCTTCTCGTTTCGTCAGCCAGCTGGATATGCCCTAGGGTGAGTCACCTTTGGAGTTGTTCTAGTCCAGATGCTGAGGGAAACTGTGGAGGCTAAGATAAAATCCCAGACTGCATTTGAAGAGTCCTCGCTAAAAAAAGTGGTGGAAGCATCTTGAGGGGAATGACTGCCCTGCTGGGTTGAGAGGCTGAGTAGGTTTCACAAAGAGAGCTGTCAAGGAAGAATAGGTTGCTTCTGAAGAAGGTAAAATGTGTTTGTCATCCTATGGTCTTGACCAAAGTAAAAAGGCAATAAACTGGAAGCATACCTTTTCTTTGTTTGTTTTTCATCAGTGAAAGAAGTAGACAAACAGAGCTTGGAATGGATTTGTAGTTTCCATAGTGATGTAGCTATGGAAGCTTTTGTGGGCTGAGCTCTGCCCTCACTGCAATCACACTTGAAAGCTATGAGTGTTCAGCTTTCCTGCCAGGGAAATGTAAGTATGTATCAAACAGGGAACTGGCTGAAAATGCAGCTGCATTTTCATGAATTTTGCATTTGCTGTGTTACCTGAATATGTGGATGTTTAGAAGCTCAGTTCATTTCTCCTTTATCTGTTGTTCTGCACTGGAACAGTGCATCCAACTATATTGATGCCACAGTTCTTGCTGCGCCAGGCAGTGATAAATTGACCTCTGTCCTTTGCTTTCTGTCATCTGTATATACACACACATCCCACAACACTGGTGCCTGTGACTCTCCAGCCACACTCATACCAAACATGCACTGGTCAGGAAATGTATGTTTAACTCTTTTGGGGCATGCTAACTGGTCAAACACCACCCTGTGAAATTGACAGGTGAACTTCATAGACATCAACTCTCTTGTGCCTGTATCTGACATTACATCATGCTTTATTTTAACGGGCATTTTGAGAGTGTTTTAATAGTCAAAATACATGATCCTTGGGGAATTTTTGCCTGTGGCAGAGCTGTTTCTGACTGTGAATGGTTGATTAATTCTGGTTTTCAGAACAAGTTGGAGGTGGAATTTTTCAGCATCTCAGTGATGAGATTACCTTGAGGCAGGGGAAGGAAAATGCTCGATGTGAATGTTGTGTGCACATATCAGGCAGTTATGCACATACTAGTGTTGCACACACACTTGCATTGTCCAGTCTTCGTGGTTCACAGGCATTTGTGCCTCATCTTTTTCTTTTTCACTTGTACTGCTGCTGGATGCTTTCTTGCTGTCTCCCTGAACAAATCTTCCTTACCTTCAGCATTTGTTTTGCTTGTCTAATGAATGTAATGGGTCATCTGTTCCCTTTATAGAAAGGAATGTTAATTATTTTCAGAAGGCTAATTAGGTTGCTAATGAGAAACCCTACTGCAGAAATATTTCCTTTAATTACTCACTCTGAAGTCCTGTACAGAGAAGCTTATTGAATATGCTTTTAAATACAAATGCTTGTATCTGGCTTAAAGATGCACCTTCAGGCTTTCAGAAATAAATATTTTGGTAAACTTGGGAATCCATGTGACAACAGATGACTGAGCAAATGAGACTGGTGCTAAGAGCTGCCTAGTTGTGCAGCTCTTTTGACTGCACCTTAATTTGGTACTTATGCAGGTGCATAAGACTGGATGCAGTTGCTCTTTGTATTTCAGTTTTCCTGATGACTTTTGTCAGTATAGGTAACTATTTGTGCTACCTGCCAGCCCAATCTATAATTAGATGCAGCCCTCACACCAAATAGTTTAGCCTAATCAGCCAGATGGCAGTCAGAGGCACCGAGAGGTGGAGTGACGTGTCCAAGGTCACATTGCAGATCATGGCAAGCCTAGTAATAAAGCAGAGGTTTCATCAGTCCTGTATTAGTTCACTGCACTCTTTGCCCCTTGTGCCTCTCTTAGGGCCAGCATAGGTCTTTACAAGACTTGCATCAGTTTGCATATTGCTTCATGAGGCAGCACAGCTGCTCAACAGCCCCATTTATGTAGCCACTTTGGCACTGACTTCGGAAGCTGTTTTTGCTTCTCCATCTGAGTCCTGTCTTCTACTTGCTTCACTTCCTTGTTGTAGTGATACCAAAATCGGATAGAAAATAAACTTTCTAACACAGTTTGAAATATGAGAAAGCAGGCATTCTTTACTACAGTGCTGGACACTTTTAGAGGATATCTCCTCTAACTGAATGTGTGTCGTGAAACTTTACCACAGGGTATTTATTCTATCATGATTATACATTCATTACAGTATACTTCCTAACTAACACATAAACATCACTTTCCCTAGAACTAATTTGCATTCGTCTGCCTCCTACTGGAAGACCTGTTATGAT